GCGCTAATGTCTATCGCAACACTATCTTTAACAGACATGCAATTAAAATGCAGAAAAGGGGGATTCTCAAACCGTGAATTTTTTACTCGCAACACTAATTTTATTAATTATATAATATATACAAAAGCGTACGCGTGAAGGCTGCTCCATTATACGCAACACTAAGCTGAAAAAAAGAAAAAACGAGAAAACGCGAACTGTAACGCAACACTAATTTTATTAATTATATAATATATACAAAAGCGTACGCGTGAAGGCTGCTCCATTATACGCAACACTAAGCTGAAAAAAAGAAAAAAAGAGAAAACGCGAACTGTAACGCAACACTACTCAAATCTACCGAATTTTCTAAGACGCAACACTAATCTAAAAAAGGGGTACAGCCAATCCAAGGCTGTATCATGGCAGCTGGTCCATAGCTGCCTTATGGACCATGGCAACTCCACTGGATCGTTTTTGGGCATTTCATCATATATCGCAACTCTAATGCAAAACGCGAATATTCATTATCGCAACACTAATTAGCAGGGAACTCTATAAACTAATGCAAAGCAATCGCGTATTTATAAGTCGCAACACTGGGAAACAATCGCGCTAATATCATTCGCAACGCTATCTTTAACAGACATGCAATTAAAATGCAAAAAAGGGGGATTCTCAAACCGTGAATTTTTTACTCGCAACACTAAAGCAATCAACATTAAAAAGCAAAACTCTCAAAAATCTTAAAGCAATCAACATTGAAAAGTTAAATTCCATTTTAAAGCAATGCAAGAAAGAAACGCGATATTTAAAGTTCGCAACACTAAATGAAAATCGCGATAATCATGCATACGCAACATTAAATTGAACCGTGATCGATATTCATTCGCAACACTAAATTGAAAACGCGATTTGCCCAAAATCATGGGGGTCACGGGCCCCCTCTTGTCCTGAAATTACAAAACTACAACTACAGGCAAGCACAGTGACAAAGTAGTAACGATAATGATTTCCCATCCTTTTTTGCAAAAGGATGCAAAATCATTAGTAGTTCCCCTCTTGAAAGACAGTTTGTCGGGGCGCTTCGGCATATAGCCTTTTCTTTCTTCGGGCGGTCCACCCACCTGAAACTTATATCTAAAGCTCGAGACTTGCAAATTCGCAAAACAAAAAAAAAAACAATCAACAAAAAAGAAAAATCGCGAAACTCTAATTGACACGTAGACGAAAAAGGACTTTATATAAGTCGTTGTTCGTGCACACGTGCCGTGCTCGAGCAGAACTTGTGCGTTTCGTACCATCGCGATCGCGTATGACGACTTATGAAGTCGCCAAAAATTTGAAAAATTGTACAGATAGATTCGAAGGCGAACGGCATACTCCGTTCGTATCGATCGTATCGTCAATTCTTCAAATATATTCCAGGTACAGGTTGATCACGCGAAATCGCGCCTACCCGACCAAGAGACTGTGACAACCTGTCCCGGCCCTACCTACTTACAATCTATCACACACACCAGAAGGTATACTACCTACCTACCTAACCCTATATTTAAAAAAGGCAAAATCACATTCTCACAAAAATTCATTCCACGACCCCCATACACTCCACCCGGGCGCAAAGCCTAAACTAGGGAGAACGTCCCGGGACGCCTCCGTCACCCGAGTTTCATCTCACATCACACTCTACGGTACGTACCATTTTTCACTGAAATCGTCTGGCAAGGCTAGCAATCATTGCGTATAATGATAATTACAAAATTTAATTAACTACTTTGATATGGAATATTTCATAGTAATGGTAATAATCATGGTAATAGTAATGATAACAATAGTATTTGGTTTATACGTTCATCGTACATCTTGTTGGATAAAATATTATTTCAAATTAAAAGTACATGAAAAAGTTATTAAACCGACGCAATCCCACAGCCTAAAAACACACACACCATATGTGGAGATTACGTCGTGCACGATATACTAACACAATGCCAGCCGCTTATTAATTATTATTCTTATGAACTAGGTCATCGTGCCCATTGCCTCTACCCATCCAAGTAGCACCTGGGCACGTGAATGGGCTTTGGCAATAAACACGGAAGGGGTTAAATCTGAAAATCCTGATCTAAAAACATGATTAGTACATAAACATCTAACGGGCTAATATTTCACTATTTTAATAAAAATGACTCGACTTTGTAAATATAAAGCTTTAAGAACAAATACAGAAAAGCAAAATAGAGCAACTATGACGCAAACATGGTGCACTGCTAATATCAGCTGGCAACGAAGGGTCTCACGCCCCCTAGACTTACGCCAGACGCTACATACCACCCACCCCGCCTGGACGTCGTAACGCCAGGACAGAGTGCACCCCTTCGCTAAGAGCGCTACCCGCCCGTCCAACACGTTGCATCCAACGGTGTCAGATTGACGGACGCCCATAGTATAGACAAAAGGACTACAGTTTAGAATATGGTAACATATTTTCATATGTTCCGTATTCTAAAGCTGCGCCTGCAAAGGCCTAGTAATGCATGGGTATATCTCCCAGAGATGGTGTTCACGGTCTTATGCCGCGGAATCCTTGTAACTAATTTGATTAATTAAATAATAAAAATGATTGAGTTTAAAAACCAAAAGGATTCCCACCGAATACTAGTCAGTGCATCGTCATATTTACTCTCGCGTTGGAAATTTTTCGCAACACTAATTTAAGAAATGCAAAATTTTAATAAAAAAGAATTTAATGTCTTTAATTAAGAATTCTTTGTAATGAAACAACAATTTATTGTGAAAATTAATAAAACATCCTCGGGCGACTCCCTCCTCAGAGCAAATTTTCAAGAATACGCAAAATGTGTTGAAATAGATCACTCTGAGTTGGAAATCTACCCGTCACGAATTGTCTTCTTGCACATAAATGTTCATTTTTTCATGAACGTGTAAATAAGTTAAACTTCGTTATTGAATGAATGAAATTTTAAAAAATTCTCAAATCATATTTGAATTTATAGTGTACAAAATGTAATTAAATCAATGTAACAGCATCATTAATATGTATATCCAGTATACAAATTACATAATACTATTAATATTATATTGCTTTGAACCATCGCAATAATTAAGTCAGTAAAATTGTTTCGGTATTAAAATATTCTAATTCCACAGTTAAGAATATTTAAGAGCATTCATATATTTCAAAAATATCTATTAGAATATGTGGAATTGAAATGATATTAAAACGCGGAGTACAAGAAGACCTAGCCTAACTAAATGAAATGAAACAATAAAAATGTTACTACTCATGGGTATGTATAATCATACCCATGGTCACTATGCTTGCCAAGCACGTATACAACTAGTAGCCCGTGTCGATTCGGACCATTCGTCCTACGACATGAGTGGGCTACCAGAGGAATCATAAAACATGCGACTCACCGTTCGCAGATATACTCTTCTTCAGGTAGGAGGCTGCCTTGTAGGAGAATACTGAAGTCGTGAAGAAATTCATCTGTAACAAAAAAAGAAGAATTACGGTTAATTTTGAAAATTATAAATTTTTATTCTAATAAAATTATATATGAAATTGAATTTTATAAAATATTAGCAATTAAAAAGAAATCTCAATTATCAAGGGTTGAAATTGTAAATTATTCTATTTTAATAAAAAGAAATTAAGTAACGTACCAGGACGGAAGTCGTGAAGAAAGCCATCATCAGGATATCCAGGAACTCGGCAATCAAAAAATTCATCTGTAATAAAACAAAAAAGAATTACGGTTAATTTTACAAATTATCAATTTTTATTCTAATAAAATTATATATGAAATTGAATTTTATAAAATATTAGCAATAGCAATTAAGAACTTTCAATTATCAAGTATTGAAATTGTAAATTATTCTATTTCAATTAAAATTAATTAAATAAAGTAATAAGATACTTACACTCTTTCCTTATGGAGCAACGCCCAAAACTCCTCTTCAGTGGTGCATTGACTCTAATCCCGAATATATCGAGCAATTAAAAAAAAATTAAAAATAAAAATAGTAACGCGACCGTGAATAATTTTCGGCGAACAATTGTAAAGACTCTACTTTCACGATGGAAAAAGAAAAATCAGAGCCGCGATGCTCTAGAAAATATTTTATTATACGCAGCAAACACTGACTCTACTTTCGCGTGATTCCTAACTGTACAAGCGCAACTCTATTCAGGGCCAGTTCACCCTTGAAAAAATCAAAACATTGGAAATATGTACGTACAAACACTGACTCTACCGACCGCATTGCGCGCGGCCACAACAATTCCTGAAAGAAAAACTTAGTGAACAGGGATGGGCTGGGTGGAAATATACAAAACAACATTCTTCTTATTGAACATTCGTAACGGAAATACTGTTATTAATGACTTGTATATGAAAATATCTATGTTCGTGAAATATATTCGACGAGCACAAATATTGTTAAAGCTGAATATTGATCCTAGATTGAAATGAAATGTTTTGAATAATTGTTGATAATTATTTCAATGAATATTACATCGATAGAAAATCATTTTGTAATAAAGATAATAGACTATTGTATTAAAGCAGAGGATTTTTGTTGATAAGATTGTAAGCATACTACAAATTATTGGAAATTCTATTACGGCATGATTTATAAATTATCTAATTCTTTTCAATAAGCAAAGTCCAATAATTAACCATGCTTAAACAACATGTGATTTAATAACGTGATTCTGTTTTAATTTAATCTTGCATCAAAAGCTGTATATTATAATATAATTCCTATGATTTAATAAAAACAAATTGTTTAAAATAATGAAAATATAATTAAATAATTGTTGAAGAAAAGCAATCATCTGCAGTAGAATACACGTTGTTTCAATTTTGTTCTAATTTAAAACACACGTATTAAATTATTAGTTGAAATTATTTAATAAAATGAAAAATTAATTATTCTTTTTCTATTAATTGATCAAAAGAAAATTTCTTTAATCCTTTTTGCTTGACCTTGATACCAATTAATTATCAAACATGCTTACACTTAACAACGATTCAAAAAAAGCATTAATAATTGATTATAATAAATTAAAACGTTACCAATTATATTATATACCCTTTACAAAATTACATTTCGAACCAATATCAATGGCGTCGTATCCCATGGCGCCTTTTTGAAATCAAATAAATATCTGTAACAAATAAAAAATAAAAATTTATGCAAATAAAATTAACCAACAAATAAACAAATGATCGAAGTCGATAATTTATGCAAATTATTTAAATAAATAGACTATGCGTACTTTTGTATTGCTTATGCGGGAGCACGACCCAAACACGTCTTCTCAGTTCGACGCTCGAGAGAGCAATGACGAGACCTTCCTTCCCATCGTAGACCGGTCGGCACTTCGGCAACACTCGGCAATGTTCGGTATTTTTTGCTATCGGCCGGTACCTAAGCACACATACGAACACGTCTAAACAGGAACAATATTACGATGCTCAAGAAAAGACATTATTAAATTAAAAACAGCAAATTGTGTGAAACAATATGAAAAACATTCGATAATATTTAGGAACTTAACGATATAAAAGAGAAAATAATTCAGATTTTGCAGTTCCACTCTTATTGTACATTCCCGGCGAGAGCAAAAATTTTCAACTCATGTATTTGTGAAGAAAACACCGAATTAATGTCAAAGATCAAGAATTCAGACTTCTCTTCGATGTTTCTTTCTGTTTTTTGTACTTTTAACACCCGATCAGCAATTTAATTTAGTATTTAAAGATAATTTAATCTTACCTGTTGCAGACACGTGCCAAACGGACGAAGCTTCGAGACGACTGTTGCACGCCACCACACTCCGCACATTGCACCCTACAACGATAAACCTGATTGGTCGAAATGGAAGGACGCCATAATAGACGACCAATCACAGCCATTGATAGAAGTTTCGTATTGCTTCGAAACTTTAATAGTAATCGTAAGGGAAAGGTTCGTTAAAAACTATCGACGCCATATTGAAATAAAGTCAAGATTACTTTTCTCAGCTTAAAACATGAAAATATAGGAAACAAAGTATAAAAAATATAAGATATTGACGGGATTTATAAAAGCAGAATAAATGAAGGAAATGTTATTTTAATTCGTATTTATATTGCTATAATAGTAAAAAACGGGAAAATCAAGTATCACGATTTATAACAGTAAATTATGAGAAATATGTATTGAAAACATGAAAAAATGCAATAATGTTAAAGAAATTATTGATATAAAGAGAAAATAATTCAGATTCTGTTCTTCCAACTTCATTGTCCATTCACGTATTTCAACTCACGTATTTTTAAAGATAACCTCGAATTAATGTCAAAAAACAAAGAGCTAGTCTTCTCTTCGGCTATTCTTTCTCTTTTTTGTATTTTCAACACCCGAAAGACAATTGAATTTAATATTTGAAGATAATTTAATCTTACCTGTTGCAGACACGTGTATAACGGATGAAGTTTCGATGAGAAATGCTGCACTGCGTCACAAATTGACGCACTCGGTCACACAACGACGTGTCTGATTGGTCGAAATGAGAGGACGCCAACATGGGGCGACCAATCACAGCCATTGGTAGAAGTTTCGAAACTGTAATGCTAATCGTGTAATGGAAACGTTCATACAATAAATATCAGCGAAAAAATCGAATAATGTACTTTTTTTAGCAACACCCGTCCTGTATTATATTTTATATTATTGTAATTATGTAATAAATAAAGGGAAATATTACTTTAATAACACTTTCCTATGGCGTGACTTTGATAAGAAATATTTAAGAACATATTATTTCCCAGCGAGAGCAAAAATTTTCAACTCATGTATTTGTGAAGAAAACACCGAATTAATGTCAAATATCAAGAATTCAGACTTCTCTTCGATGTTTCTTTCTGTTTTTTGTACTTTTAACACCTGATCAGCAATTTAATTTAGTATTTAAAGATAATTTAATCTTACCTGTTGCAGACACGTGCCAAACGGACGAAGCTTCGAGACGACTGTTGCACGCCACCACACTCCGCGCATTGCACCCTACAACGATAAACTTGATTGGTCGAAATGTGAAGACGCAATAATAGACGACCAATCACAGTCATTGGTAGAAACTTCAAATTGCTTAAGGGAAAGGTTCGTTGAAAATTATCAACGCCATATTGAAATAAAGTCAAGATTACTTTTTACAACCTACAACATCGAAATGTAGGAAAGTAAGTAGAAAACAACATAAAATACCCGTGACATTTAATAAATTATCGTCATAAAAGCAGAATAAATGAAGAAAATATTATTTTAATCCGTATCTATATCGGCAGAATAGAATATAAATTTTCAGCTTACTACACAATAAAGTAATTTGCTATATTTCACATCATTTACGTTTAAATGTATCATCTAGAATATTTAAATTTAACAAGATATGTAACATTTTTATTTTTAACTTTAATATTATTTATTGTTAATATTTTATTACAATTATTGCTTTTCACAATGATTTTATGTTATGTAAATAACTAAACAAGGTTTAATTCTATATGTTTAAAAATTTATTATATAATGTATTTTTTCTAAAATTGACATGAAATCAGTATCAGTTGTTTGAAAACAGTACAAAAGAACAAATTTTCTATTTAGAAAGGCACAGTGTGGCATATATCCTTAAAATATTTGATCAACGAAAATTGGTATTTGATGATAGTAAATATTGAGATATTACAATATAACAAGATAATACAAATGTAAACGGGTCAAAATTTCGAGTTCCACTTGTAGCGAATTATTTTTTACAACATACGAAGAGTTAATAATAATAGTCTTGTTCGTTGAATGTCTGTGTAAATAGTATAGCAATGTATTAAGTTTTAATATCCCGAATGGTTTTAAATTATTCTCATAAATTAGATATGCATCATATAAAATGTATGTTTTTAAAGTTTGGTATAAAATTATTCAAATTGTTTATACACAGACATTTTTCTTAGCTCTTTACATAAATATAATTTAAAAATAGGTTTAACAATGTTTAAATCACTATAACTTTTAATATTATTGACAATTTAAAATTAGTAATTTTTAAAAATATTGTTTTCAATAATATTCCTGTTTGCAGTGTTATTTAGTATAATATATTTATAGTCAACTTCATCGGGCAAGTGTGGAGTAAAATTTAGGCTACAACAAAATAAAAATATGTAATTTAAAGATGTGATAAGAGAAATAACTTTTATGTTCAATTTAATTACCTCATCATGCTTTTCTTCCTTATTTCCCTCCTCATCATCACCAGAACTATCACCACCTGAACTATCAGCAGAATTACGTTGCTGGTCTTTGTTATTTAAACTGTCAACAGCAGTTGGAGATGATGCCTTTACTTTACTAGCTGTATCATAACATTGCAAACACACTCTAACTGCCTTTCCATTTCCTTGTCCAGGTAATAACAATTTTTTATTACTGCAAGGCCCGCATACCACAGCTCCACATTGCCTACAATGGTGCTAGAAAAATTTTATTAATATTTTAAAGATTATATCGTATAAAACTATATTATTTAACAACTTGCAAAAATAATATATGTATACCCGTCTGTTTAAAACTGTAAACTGTGTTTTATTACAATGCATACAAATTGTAGCTTCATTGTCTGGAACCCAAACAGCTGCATGAACCTCAACTGGTTTTTTCCCACCTATTAAAAAAAGGAATTCAAATCGTAAGCATGGTATGACATAATAAATTTATATAATTATTTACTAAGTTTATTATTTACTCTTTCTTAATAGATCCTCAATGCATTTGGTAATATGAGCCATCCATTCTTGCTTCTCTGTTGGAGTGGCAGCATAAACAGCAAACGACTTTGTTACTGTTTTTATGAGCCAACCATTGCGATACTCTATAAATAATAATAAAATATTACACTATCCTTGGTAACTATATATATATATATATATTTACAATACCACATGTGTTTTTCTACATTCCTTTAGGTACCAGATATTAAAAATAGAGAATAAAAGTGAAGGATTATGATTTTATCATACATTTGTGAAAAATCTATTAAAAAATGAAGAATATGATCTGATCAACAATGAAAATACATATAACTTACGACCATCATCAGCTAAAGACTCAAGTTTGACCTGTTCAAGTGGTATTATGTGTTGCTTGTTATACTGTTAACACACATAATATAAAATTGTTTATTATAATTGAATAAATTACAAACAAAATAAAACCATTTTTCTTTTAATACATAATTTAATACCTTTTTTTTGTTCATTACAATATTTCCATAAACCAATATATCATTAAATAAAAAGAACTGTCTTGGTTTTGGCTTCTTTCTACACATTTTTGTTAATACACCTTCTCCAACTAAAACTCTTCCAGGTACTGCAAGTGGCTGAAATATATAATATACTTAGCTACCTGACAGGATATCATTTAATTTTATAAATCTTTTGATTTAAATATTATGTTACAAATAAGTTCTTGAAAAATAAAATGTTAAAGACAACATAAAGTAAAATACTAATAATTGTAACATATTAGTCTCACCTGGCCAGAACTGCCAAAGCAGTTTTCGACCATAGCAATGCGTCTGGCATTAGCCTCGCTATTTACTGGAATGAATCACATAAAAAATAATCATCTTTCAGTCAACATTCGTAAAAACACAGTGCATAGTAATGAACCGAATTCAGCAACAAATTAACTATTACTTTTAAATAGATCTCACATTATGTATTCAATTTAACTGTCAAAATCACAAACTATCGAGTTACACCGTTATCTGATGCGATTTAACAAATCGTAGACCGTAGAACTTGTGAATTTTCCGATTCTTGAATTGAAACAAGTATTATGTATATTAATATTATATATACGAAAGAGAATTAAACCCTTTATAAATATTATAGCAATAATTAAATGATAATAACTAAAATATAAACTAACCCAATCGGTCAACCATGGTCCTATGAATCAGGGCTGACAACCAGGAAGTATGAATCACGTATGCTGCCTGTCACATTCGTAATAAGTCAAACTTATAATATCTCAAAGATTACAAATATGTTAGAAAAATTACAAAAAATGTATTAAGTTACTTAAATAGTTTTAAAAATGATATAAAATTGAAATTTCTTTTTATGGAAATTATTTTATTAGGAACAAGATGCAAATGATGAGAACAAAAATTATATTGCATTTGCTTTCGTTTCTTATTAAAAAATTAGTAATCTTATTTGTTCGTTAAGAAGTATTGTCAATGTAGTGATGTGGCATTTTATGTGAATTACACATTTTCAAATACCGGATGTAGCAATTCGAGATATCGATAACTCTTATAGGACTGTTCTAAACCAAAGTCATATGATTGTTGAAGGCGTAGCAAGTTAACATTTGTACGTTTCTTATTAAGTTACCTTGGACGAAAGTATATAGAAACATATAAATTTTTACACCCAAAAATGAAGATATGTGGACCCAAATACGCCCTATGTGGCCTGATATTATCTGTTTGGGGAATATTTCAACTAGTAAGTTATTTAACCTAATTCTAATCCATCAATATACAATAAATTCAATAGTTTCAAGAAGTATCAGAGATTATAAGTCTGCATGTCAAAGCATAATATTAATTTAATTTTCAGCTCTTGATGGGAATATTCTTCTATGTCAAAAGTGTAGCTTTAATAGAAGATCTTCCATTAGAAGACAAGTTTGTTACAGCAACAGACTTTTACGCTGCAGCAGACAGGGGTTATAAACAAAATGCATATAATTGTTGGATTGCAGCTTGCATTTATGTTTTTACATTACTGTTTTCAGGACATCAGTTTTATATAAATTCAAGATCATCTTTGAGTGTTTGAAAGAATATTACTAGTGCATTGTACATCAAGTAAAGATATGTATAAATTTATAAAGTATTATTGTATGATAGTCGAAAGAAAAACATGTTTATGAATATTCTTAATTAGATTTAAAACTGTGTTTAAAGTTTCAATAATAATCATTGCAACAATAGCATTTGGCTTTACTGGGTTTTAAAATAAGCATTAGTTAACTTGATTAAGTGTACATTATTTCATATTACTATAAAGATGTAAAAATATAAATATACCTTAAAACCCTTACTACATTTATTTTTTAGTATAATGTGAAACATTTAATTTATCCCAGTTGTAAATAACAATAAATATAATACAATTCTGATAGAAATTTGTTAATTTTGATGTCAAGTTTTATATCCATGGAAAATAATATCTTTCAAAATGTGTTTTGATATGAATCATTCTAATTATATCTATGTATAGTTTCATGAAACATGGGTGACATCATCTGTCATCCTGAAACTTAATATAAGTAATACATTAAAAAAAAGACATTAAGTGTTTCAAATTATTAAGACAACAAAATTTTAAGAACTATACTTTATTATTGTGTTGAAGAAACGTTAAAATTACTTCAATTGTGCACGAAAAAACTTTAATATCACAAACAATAGGTTACGTATCTATTTGCTAAATATCTTTTTTATTTTCTTTCAAATGCATGTAGTTTAAGTTAATTAATTTAATTTATATTTTAATTATTTTTTAACAGAAATGATATATTAATTATTTTGTAACTTATTAAAAGGAATACAAGATTTTTGAAGATCTCGTTTTGACTAAGTTTGCGTGCTTATTAAATGTAAACAATAAATTAAAAAACATATGCTAAAAGTTTTAAACAAGCATGATTTATTGTATAAATAACATTTAATTCTTTTTTAGTATATTGCAATGGAAAGTGAACAAAGAAGTTTAGCCGAAGACTATAGTGAAATAATACAACGTCTTCCTATTTCACTAAAATTATCATATGGAATAGGACATGTTTTAAATGATATTTGTGCTTCTATGTGGTTTACTTATTTATTAGTATTTTTTCATTTGGTACTGGGATTTGATTCTACATTATCAGGAGTAATTTTACTTATTGGTCAAATAGCAGATGCTTTAGCTACCCCATTTGTTGGACTTCATTCTGATAAAATTGATGAGTTCTGGTTATGTAAATATGGAAGAAGAAAAACATGGCATTTAATAGGTATACATACATCATACGTATATGCATTATTATTTAACTTTAACCAATTTTTATATTAAAGCACTTTTTAAATTGTGCACTTTAGGTACCCTGTGTGTATTATTTGCATTTCCCTTTATATTTTCACATTGTATTGGCTGTGAATCTGCTCATAAATGGGCACAATTGATTTATTATAGTGCATTTGTTGTAATTTTCCAATTTGGATGGGCTGCAGTTCAAATATCTCATTTATCATTAGTACCAGAACTCACACCTACTGAACATGAAAGAACAGAACTCATAGCTATCAGGTATTTTTTTAAAGTAATATTAAAATAACAGTATTAAATATATTCTAATTAATAATCTTGTATACATAGGTATAGCTTTACTGTACTATCAAATATTTTTGTATATTGTATTACTTGGGCAGTTTTACATATAACAAATAACAAAGATGCAAATTCGCAAATTGGTCCAGATGATGCAGACAAATTTCAAGATATTGTATTTATAGGAATAGGAACAGGAGTTGTAACATCTATTTTATTTCATATCTTTGTTAAAGAGAGATCATTGAGTAATTCTGATGGTAAAATTAAATTCTATTCATAGATTTTCTATTTGATAGTTAAGATTTTAATGTACTTGTATATTTATTTTAGGTTCATTACGTACAAATTCAAGAGCAATATCTTTATTATTAAAAGATGTCCAATTATATCAAGTAGCTTGTATATATATGCCCACTCGTATATTTGTAAATTTATCACAAATTTATGTTCCTTTATATTTGCATGAGTCTCTAAGTATGCCAGCTACATCTTTAGCTATAATTCCCTTAATAATGTTTTTGAGCAGTTTTGCAATATCCTTAATTATAGAAAAATTAAATACAAAACTAGGTAGAAAAATTTCGTATTCTTTTGGTGTTATATTGGGTATAATTGCTTGTGTTTGGATAAAATTTGGTACTGGTGTGATCTATACAAAATATGAAATATATCCAGTATCTTTGATGTTAGGTATTTAGCATGATAAATCTACTATCTAATACTAATTTGAGATATATAGTACATATTTAAAACAATCATTCTGTTATAGGGTCTGCTGGATCCATTATGCTAGTGACCAGTCTTGGTGTTACAGCAGATTTCATAGGACAAAATGTAGATAGTGGTGCATTTGTATATGGTATCATGAGTTTTACTGATAAACTTTGCAATGGTCTAGCAGTTATGCTTATTCAATATTTGTTAGTGTGTTTGAAGTCTATCAATCTAACACAATTTAACTGCAACTAATTTATTTAAAAACTGTAATAATATTTCACAATATTTTTTTCAGAGGAAGTTGGATTAATACCAAAAATTATTACAAAGATGTTTTAGTCTATGTTTGCAGTTCTTCTGCAATACTTGGCTTATTAGTGTTATTATACATAAAACCATTCCATAATAATGAAGGTAAAATTTATAAAATATGCTACCTATAAAATAATATTGTATTATAATAGATGTTATAAATTTTTGTAGCATATAATACATTAAGCTCAGGACAAACTACAGCATTATCAGAGAATGAATCTAATGATATATTAAGACAAGATCATGTTACATAATTAAAAGAGGTTTGTAACTTAAGGATGTATATTTCAATATAAAACTGTGGTAAAGTTCAGTTTACAAATACCGACAATAATTTAATATAAGATGTTACAGTAATATGATTTGCAACATTATATTAATTAATCCGGTTAATTATTTACATTGAAATTTTTAATGATAATCATTTCAACGCAAAAATAAATATGTGCGCAATATTTTCCTATGATAAGTTTACAAAAACACCGAGCATGGTAGACCTCTCCAGGGAAAACGGCGATGCTCCCATACGTTTTCCTGTCCTGGGGTTCTGGGATTTCTGGTGTTTCCTGGAAGATTCCCTTTTACCGACTGTTATCGACTTGATACTAAAGCTACCCAAGGTAATGCGAACGTCGAAAACTTTACCAACAGACCCTAGAAAAGAGTTTTCAAATTACGTCGTCATTTCTAAACAGAATGTAATCAAATTTGAGGGACGTGTTCAGGAGGCCCTAAAGAATGGTAGTCTGGTCCTTATATTATCCAAATCGTCAAAAAGTTATAAAATATTGAAATTTTTGTCTGTCAACCGTCAAGAAAATGGCGGATCGGACTCATCTGCATCAATTTATTCGTAATATAAACATTTCTGTGAATCGTGTGTCCAAATGGGTACCAGACTACCATTCTTTGGTTCAGATAGAACAAAACGAGCACCCAAGAGATGATGTACAAGTGAAGCCTCCAGGTAGAAGAAATTTGAAAACTACGATTTCGTTGATTGTTCACTCGCGAAAGACGTCAACAAGGTAAAACAGACCACAAATTTACTTCCTCGTTTTTTCTGTAGGGCGCAGTTCGATTGTTTTCTGCGACCGAACCGTTGACGACGATACAATGTGTTGTGGAGAATGGGACATTCGAGCGTAGAAGAGGCGACGAACTCTGACTCGTGAAAAAGAAATTCACGCGTCAAAGTCCATTATTATTATTAAAGAATAAAGAATAGCAGTGTAGCTTTCTGCTAGTATAGGTTTTATCTGCCCTCTGAAAGTAATTAATTAATTACTAGCAATTTTTAGAGTGATTATTCTTGTTCGAGCCGCCGGCCCTATAAGGGTTCATAATTAATTAATTAGTGACTGGATTCTTACAAAACCTATATTAGAAAGTCGCTACAAGTATGTAGATTAAGAATCAATCATAAAAGTTCATAAATTATTCCTAGATATTTGCCTATGGTAATGTCACCTCGCTGTATTACCCCCTTAAGGGGGTAGACACGGGGAAAAATTTAACTTCAATCACTTTGGAAAATAAATCACTTTAGAAAAGCAATAAATTAATTAAAGAATAGAAGAGAATTTGTAACTGTTATTATTGTATAACGTTCAATAATTATTTGATAAAAATCAAAATTAAAACACAATAATCGCTTCTTAATATTGTATAAAAATTAAATAATTCAAACAAATTTACTGGATATCCGTGTATAAAAGTTATAAAAATAATAAACTTCAATAGATATAACAATAATTTAATTAACAAACAATTGTAAAATTAAAAATAATAATTAAATAATTTTTAATAGAATAATTAAACAAAATTTTGCAATATACCCACGCGGAAATGTAAAGAAATAAACAATTTAAATAGATATAACAATAATTTGATTAATAAACGATTGTAAAATATAAAATAATCAAACAAATATTAACAAATATCAGATAGAAGTAGTTAAATGTAACCGGCCGCGGAACCGGTGAAGCGGAACGTCATGCTTGATTGGGCGCGTCGCGCGCCGGTACATCGGCGACCTGGAGGAAGGTCAAATCTAGTCAGTCTTATCGCGACCGCCGAAGGATACGGATGGAACTGCCAAACATATACCGGTACGGGTTGACACTATGGATATTAGTGCATGGATTTATCAGTGTGTTACCACAAGTGTTTCTATGTGTGCCTATGGTGTTTCCTATAGTGTTTCCCATGTGTTTTGGAATATTTATACGGATATATTAGTGTGTCTTATGGTGTGGTCACCCATGTGTTCTGACATTTTTATACAAGTGCATTAGTGTGCTGTGTGGTGTGGTAGCCCATGTACCTGCATGTGCTTTATTGTGTTTTATGGTGTGGTTTCCTTTGTACTTTGGCATATATTTACGGATTTATTAGTGGGTTTTATGGAGCGGTACCCTATGTGTTTTGGCATATTTATACGGATTTATTAGTGGGTTTTATGGAGTAGTACCCTTTGTGTTTTGGCATATTTATACGGATTTATTAGTAGGTTTTATGGATTGGTACCCTATGTCTTTTACTATAATTTTGCAAATATTTTATAGTGTTCTATGGTTTTGATCTTCAAGTGTTTTGGGATGTATTTGCATGTGTTTTACCGTGTTTTATGGTGTAGTTATTCCCATATAGTTTTGCATGCATATTTTTGAATTATCCTATGTATTAACATATTAACTACAACAAATTGAGAGAAAATATATATCGTTCAAGAATCGTGATTTTTATGCTTTTAGACGAGTGCTTTGGCCAGTGAGGATACCGTTTGTTTAACGAGCCAACAGACAAGCTATGGGTCAATCTAACAATAAGATGCGTGGCGAGTACAGTGATGCAAGTCAACGATCGGTGAGTCGCATGCTTTAAAGTTCCTCCGGTTCCCATCATGTCGTAGGACGAATGGTCCGTAGCGACACGGGAATTGGTTGTAATTTTTATTTTTTGAGCGAGCATAGTGACCCACGAATATCACTGTATCATTTTATACAATGATAATCGTGCAAATTGCTTTTTTTGTGTATTTTATGCCTTAGCTCAGGATAGGGTTTTCTTGTACATATTTACATATATAGATTTCGAGTTAAAAAGTGTAGAGAAGTCGGATGACCCTCCGATTTCAGAATACACCTTCTTTTTTATATGTACAAGAATTTATTTCGCGATGAGCAGATTTCAATATCAAAGTAATAAGCATGAATACTTTTAATTATTCCAACTACTTACTTTGATAACGAAATCGCTCTTGAAATTGAAACGTTCTTCCGATTTTACTCGTTAAATTGGCATAAGTTTAGTACATGGGCTGGCCCCCCCTCCAGGGGGGTGGTTACGCTTACGGTTCTCGCTCCTAAACACTCATCATTCACACCTCAGCCTCACGAACTCTATCACATAATCATTTATCCACCCGCATATTCTTGTGTAGTGAAATATTACCCAGTTAGGATTTTCAAGTTTAAGTAGTGTTGCGAAAAATTTTCAATGCGAGAGTAAATATTACCCCGTTAGAATTTTCAAGTTTAAGTAGTGTTGCGAAAAATTTTCAACGCGAGAGTAAATATTACTCTGTTAGAATTTTCAAGTTTAAGTAGTGTTGCGAAAAATTTCCGGCGCGAGAGTAAATATGACTATACACTGACTAGTATTCGGTGGGAATCCTTTTGGTTTTTATTTGATAAAATTAGTTACAAGGATTCCGCGGCATAAGACCGTGAACACCACCTCATGGGAGATAAAACCATGCATTACTAGGCCATTTCAGGCACAGCCATAGAGTACGGAACATTTAAGTATGTTGCAACCCATACGCTAAGCTGTCTTAAAGTCCTTTTGCCTATACTATGGGCGTCCACCACTCGAACTCGTTGGATGCAACGTGTTCGATGGGTGGGTAGCGCTCTTAGCGAAGGGGTGCACCCTGCCTGGGCCTAGAGCCTTAAACAGGCGGGGTGGGTGGTATGTAGCGTCGGGCGTAAGTCCAGGGGGCCTAAGAACCTCCGTTGCCAGCTGATATTAGCAGTGGACGAATGTTTGAGTCATATTTGCTCAATCTTGCTTTTCAGTATTTGCTCTTCAAGCATAATTTAAAGCTCCCCTTTAGTCACGTTGCTAGATCAGGATTTTCTATTTTAATTAGTGTTGCGAAAAATTTCCAGCGCGAGAGTAACTATGACAATGCACTTACTAGTATTCGGTGGGAATCCTTTTGGTTTTTAAGCTCAATGTCTTATTTAATTAATTAAATTAGTTACAAGGATTCCGCGGCATAAGACCGTGAACACCATCTCTGGGAGATATACCCATGCATTACTAGGCCTTACAAGGTGCAGTTTAGGATGTGGCGCCCATCCATAGGTTCCATTTAATAAACTGCAGTCCTTTTGTCTATACTATGGGCGTCCGTCAATCTGACACGTTGGATGCAACGTGTTGGACGGGCGGGTAGCGCTCTTAGCGAAGGGGTGCACCCTGTTCTAGGCGGGGTGGGTGGTATGTAGCGTCGGGCGAAAGTCCAGGGGGCCCGAAAACCTCCGTTGCCAGCTGATATTAGAAGTGCACCATTTTTGCGTCATAGTTGCTCTATTTTGCTTTTCAGTATTTGCTCTTCAAGCATTATAGAAAGCTCTTCGATCATACTTCAAATTCATTCTGTCACGTTCACGGTTCTCGACCCTAAACACTCATCATTCGCACTTCAGCCTCATGAACTCTATCACATAATCATTTATCCACCCGCATACCCTTGTGTAGTGAAATATTACCCCGTTAGGATTTTCAAGTTAAAGTAGTGTTGCGAAAAATTTTCAACGCGAAAGTAAATATTACCCCGTAAAGATTTTCAAGTTTATGTAGTGTTGCGAAAAATTTTCAATGCGAGAGTAAATATTACCCCATAAGGAGTTTCAAGTTTAAGTAGTGTTGCGAAAAATTTTCAACGCGAGAGTAAATATTACTCTGTTAGAATTTTCAAGTTTAAGTAGTGTTGCGAAAAATTTCCGGCGCGAAAGTAAATATGACTATACACTGACTAGTATTCGGTGGGAATCCTTTTGGTTTTTATTTGATAAGATTAGTTACAAGGATTCCGCGGCATAAGACCGTGAACACCACCTCATGGGAGATAAAACCATGCATTACTAGGCCTTTGCAGGCACAGCCATAGAGTACGGAACAGTTAAGTATGTTGCAACCCATACGCTAAGCTGTCTTAAAGTCCTTTTGCCTATACTATGGGCGTCCACCACTCGAACTCGTTGGATGCAACGTGTTCGATGGGTGGGTAGCGCTCTTAGCGAAGGGGTG